ATATATAGGGTGGTCACGAGAATCAAGTTCTGAGGTTTTGAACAGTGTGGTAAGGAGTGGGGGAATTCAATTCATCACCTGCTATAGGTATCTTACAATGAAATTTTTATTTTACCCAGAATTTGATCACTTATGATAATTCTTTAATATTCACAGTTGACACAATACTTTAATATTGATGATCTCATCTGAAGCAGAAAGACTGAGAATTATGACTACTTTGCAGATGAGGAAAACAAAATCAAGATGCAGGTAAATCTCAAGATTGGAATCCAAATTTCCTGGATCCAAATTATCGGAGATAAAGGCGATGTCATGTTCTAAAGATTGGGTTTTGGTGTTTGTTAGTTTTTAGCAAATATTTGAATAAAAAACATAATCTCCTTTTCGTACTTTTCAAAATATCCAGGTCTCTGGCTTTGGCAAATTTCACGTCTGGATGATTGTCAGAACTTTTCATTTTTTTGTCTGAGAATTAGCCATTAGAGAAAGAGACATGATCAGAAAGTCCTCAGTTACATGAGCAGGAGTCCCTGGAGGCAAGGTTGGCTGGATATGGCATTCGTCTACTGTGAACTTCTTGCAGTGAGGCAACTTGGTCATGCATCTCCGTGTTCCCAGGGTCCCCTATTGTGGAGCTTGCCAAATGAAGATGGATTGGCAGTAAAGCATGTCATTCCTCCATGCCACTCTGGTGGCCACGGCCAGCCCCAGGCCCTGTGACACTGTGCCTCAAATTATCTTCCCAAACTGCTCTGTCTCTGTTCTGCCTTTGCTCAGAAGCCTTAGGTGGCTCTCTCTTGCCCACTAAATTTTGATCAGATCTCTCAATCTGTCAACCAAAGTTCTCCATAGTCTTTTTGAGGTTTACTGTGTTCCACTCATTCAACACCTCCCCCCTGGGCACCATTGACATCCTGGTCTCCAGCCACAATACTCACTATTGCCACAGCACACTTGATTTTGTACAGATCCGTATCTTTGCTCAAGCAGTTTCTTCTGTCGAGCACATTCTGCAAACACGCATATATGTGGAAGTCTAACACATCCTTAACAATTTCTACTTCTCCTTGGATCCTTGACTCGTAAGGAATCACCTTTCCCCATGTTCCCACCACGAGTCCTGAGTTTGCTTGGCCTCCAGGACACTTATCTCATTCTACCTTGCATCAGTTACTGAGCTATATGGCAGGAGTGTAGGAGTCAGGCTTGTGTACAGCACCAAGGTTTCAATCACGCTGACCCTGGCTCAGTTTCTGTCACATGGTTGATGTTTTATAAATGTTTCCTGAATTCCTGAAATTAATCAATGATATCACATAAGGTAACCAGAAATGCCAAACTCACCTCTATAAAGTCAACTTGACCTTGATGGTTTCCTCCCCTCAAAAAATGAATGCAATGACACAGAAGAGGGGCAATAGGGCCACACTCACAAAGAGTGTGACAAATAGAACATGTTATTTGGCATCTATTTTTAGAAATGAAGAATACTTAGAAACTCAAGATGGGGCAGTGGAAATTAAAACTCTCTGTTCAGTATTGCCAGAATATTACTAATGCAAATTGTCTATTGATCCCAGAAATTGGCACTGCCAGGGACAAAAAGTTTTCTCACCTTTATACTTGTTTACCACATACTACAAAGTTAATTTGTATAAAGCTCTTCTAAACTTTTATCTTGCTGACTTTCAGTCTCCCAAATTCAAAAAAAAAAAATATTGAATTGCTCCTGACATCTAGCTGGCTTGATCTGGAGTGCATGCATAATTTAAGCTGATTGAATATTTTGCCACATTAGAGTGGAAAATATCTGAATCCCCCAAACAGTAAAAGAAAATGACAGGCTCAAATGCCACTTGGCATCACCTTCCGTGATTTCCACCAGGTAATTAGGGCAGTCTAGGCGGCTGAAATGGAAATTTGCCTTTAGCTACAGGATTCACTCATGAGCACTCAAGGCCCAGAAACAGATGACTCTGTCTTTAGCTGATGCAAAGTCTTTTTTCCTTCCTTGGAAGAGAGATAAAATAAAAACACTCCTCAGATTATTTGCTTTTTTTTTTTCTTTTTTAAATATGCTTTTTTGAGTTGATCTTTTTAACCAAAGAAAAGGAGTTTGGAAGAAGCTTTCATTAGGAGACTTTGCTTGACTTTGAAGTAAACAAAAACAACAAAAAGACACTCCTAAAGCCCTCCAGGTTTGTCAGAAAAAAAAACAACTAATGATGAGCCTTTGACTTCTCTAACCCTATGTCACTCTCCTACCCACAAGGCACAAAAGTGCTGGTTCTTCCTTTGCTCCCCTCCTGGGAGTTTGAAGACAGAGTCCTCTCCCCTCCCCCCAGTCCCAGTCCCAGCTGTGACTGTAGAATTGACAGCACCAAGGAGAAAGTCCCCAGGGAGATGGGATGTGGCATTCTGAAGACTATGGGCAGAAAGGCTAATGAGCTTCCTGGGTAGCAGTCGTTGGCGGAACTGGGCAGGGGTGAGGGGCCAGGGAGAGAAGCCCAGGATCTGGGAGCAGATAAGTGCTCTCTGTTGTGGACCAGGGGCATCTCATCAGGCCTCACCCAGCTAGGGTTTTCCTTAGGGCTCCCGTTTCTTTTTATTTTCTTTCCATGCTCATCAATAAGAGTTCTGATCTTACTTCTGAGAGACCTTGACACTGAGAATGAGGTGGAGGACATTAGTATTCTGGTCCCTGGGAAGGGATGGCTCCGGTCAAAAACATGTGCTTTATTCAGCAAATTTGTGGAACACTTAGCAAGTGTCCTATACTGGCTGAGTTCTGGGAATTCAGTGGGAAACTAAGAAAGGCCATGCCCTCATGGAGTTTATATCCTAGAAGAGGAAGATGGACAACAAAGGTATGAACAAGCAAACAAACCAGATCGATATACATAATAGTTGTAGAGAAAGTTTTGCAGGGTGGAAACAGTGAATACAGGAGTAAGCAGTAAAAGGGGGTAGGACAAGTTCCAATCTGATGGCCTCTACAGATGCTAAGAAAATAGAGCGTGCAAATCTGAGAAACGGGGAACCAACAAGACCTCTGACCAAAGATGTTTCCCCTAAGAATTTCTTGCACCAGCCGGTCCTGGACAACAATCCCTCATTCATCATCTTTTCTTCCCCTGCGAGAACACTCTTGTTCTCTCAGCTTCCAAGGCAATTCTCCTGACACATCCTGTTAGTTCCTGCCCTGGGCTCTCACACCTGCTGTTCTTTTGCCCAGAGTATCTTTCTTCCCGTCTCTACCTGAAGAAATCTCAAGCCCATCTTTCCAAATTCAAATAAAATATCCCCTCTCCTGTACCTATCCCAAACAAAGGTGAATGCTTCCACAAAAGTTTATATAATTCTATTATAACATATTTCAAATTGTGTTTTGTTGTTTCCCTATTACTGGGGAATTAGGGAAGGGGGAGGGGTAGGAGGTGACAAACATTCTTTCCTTGACCAAACTCTGATTAGATTCCTCTGAATTCTCCTCTCAACTAGGTTTCTGTGCCCATCTTTACCTGTTCCAATTTTAGCAAGAATCTCCCACTCCCCACATCTGACGGCCTTTCCTATTTAATTAGCTACTTCCTCCTTCCCCATCCCCCTGGGTGATCCCCTGGTCTGCCACCAGAGACCCCCTTATTCTCTGATGTTTTCTCTTAATAGTTTTCCATTACCAACCTCCACTTTGCTTCTTAGCTCTAAATTCCCACTTTTCCTTGTATTTAGAGTTGAGCCCCATTGCAGTGATCCGTACTAATATTGTGATAATCTCCTCCCTTGGATATAGTTTGCCTTACTGTCTTTAACAAGGGTCCTGATAATTTTTTCTTTAACAGAGGAAGGAAGGAGGAAAGAGAGAAGAAGGATGAAAGAGGGGAAGGAAGGAGCAGAAGTAGGAGATGGAAGGAGGGATAGAAGAATTTAAACTTCAAAATAAAGTGAGTAGTTCATTTCTGAATATTTGTACCAAAAAAAAAAGAAGCTAAATGCACCACGAAAGATATTTTTGTAATAAAATAAAAGTTATGCTCTATCTGGGAAATTCTTCTTTTGTCTTGCTAAGACCACCAAGGAATATAAAATCCCTCCCACACTTCTTTTCAAAGGTATTTACATATGAGTCATAATTCCTACCAATCCCAAACTACATAGATCTGCATGCCAGCAATTAGATGTTTATAGGGCTAGAGGGGAAGAATGGCAGCTGCTGAACTGCAGTGGAAACAGAAAACCTCTGGTTAGTAGCAGAGGGGTTGGGAACCTAGGAAGCTCTTTCTGGAAGCAACTTTCTGGTGTCGATCATCAGGGACAAAGAAAGGGATAATGCAGAAATGGGATGATTAAATAAAGGTGAAGCTCCCCAGGCTTAGAATGGAGGATCCTCCAAACTCTGAGGTTTACTTTGGTGCCGAGAGAGATGTAGCAGAAGTGGGAAAGGGGCCAAGACAGAGGACATCTGGCCCAGAGGGTTCCAGGAGTTCAAACAACCCCTGAGCGATGGCAATGTTATCTATCACAGTGATTCTCAACCTTGACAGCCCTTAACGATTACACGAGATCTCTTAAAAACTACAGTGCCTGGACCCCAGACCATTGAAATAGGGATTTCTGCAGATGGGGCAGTAGCATTAGGATTTTTAATAAGCTCTCCAAGTGATTCCACAGACACAGGTGGTTAAAATTCCTTTCGTCTGCATCATTTGCAAAGCCCTTCCAATGTGTTGGCTTACTGAACGTGGTTTATACCCAAAGGTAAAAACCGAAGCTCAACAACAGAAGGGAACTCGCCACGGGTCATACAGACGACGGTAAGATTCTAACTTGTGCCTTCAGACTTCAAGTTCAATACGCACGGCTTAGGGAACTGCTTCTGGGGAATATCTTGATGAGGAAAAATTGATATTGAGTGATTCCACTCTCCCTTTTGACATCCCTTCTTAATTAAGACTTTTCTCCCACGCATTTCCTTTCTACTCTTCTCATCCTCAGGTGCCCATTCCTCTTCTCTTGCCTGCTGGGATGTGCTGACCAGTGGCTAACCACTCAGCGGTAATCAGGTATGTGGGCAGCCTCCCTGCGGGAGAATGTTCTCTTGAGAAAAACATTGGCAAATGAGGTAAAATGCAAACAGTTAGTTAACCAGACTGAACAGTATAGGGAGTTTCTTGTGCTATTCTTGAAACTTTCCCATAAGTTGAAAATATCAAGATAAAAGGTTACAAGAAGAGGAAGAGGAGGAGGAGAAAGAGAAGGAGGAAGGCGAGGAAGACACTGGCAGCATTTAGTATAGATTCGATGGCCGTGATGAGGAATCATGGCCCAAAGGCTTGAAGGGCTGAGTCTTCTCTGTTGTGAGACCTTGGCCAAATTACCCCCTGTCCTAGGATTTTATTTTCCTATTGGGACATGAGAGGGCTGGAGTAGAGTTTCCTTGTTCTGCTTATTCATTGCTACATAACCAATCTCCCCAAATCTTAGTGGCTTAAACCACAAATTTATTATAACATTTAGTTGTTCTTTGGACTGACGAGGCTCTGCTGGGTGATTCTCACTTATGGGGCTCTCAAGGGGTTACAGATAAAAGTTGGGTTTGGCATTACCTGGCTTGAATGGGCGGCATCCCAGGTGGTTCACTCACATGGCTCGCAGTTGATCTTGGTTATTGGCTAGGAGCCTGGAGGGGGCTGTTGACCCCAAATGCCTACAGTGTAGCTATCTTGTTAAATAAAAACAATGATCTTCTTCTCAAATATAGCAGACATATTTTTCTAAGGCTGTGGGTTTTTCATAAGCTAGGAGTTTTACATTCATGTGAATGATTAGCATTGCTGTTATTTGCATTCTGCTGACTACTGGCTGTCCCAGCCTCGCTAACTGCCATCTGGTCGCAAGTCTGGTTGCTTCTCCTGACTGCTCTCTGTCTATTGGTAATCTTTTGTTCCCACTCATTCACCAAAGATGCAGCTATCTAGGAATCCCAGCATAAACTGTAAAGAAAAAATACTCAAAAAATTGTGTGGGCTTTGTATTTGTAAAAACTGTGATTATTCGTGAACATTGGTCACTACAACAGGGTTGGTGGGGCAATTTCATTCCCAAACACGTTGTTTCTCACACTGTCCCACATTGTGGTGGGTGAGGAAAATGCACTGTGTCTTAGCATGCCCAGAAACCTTTTAAAATTGTGGAGAAATCCACAGGCAGAGAGCTCATGGCTTATTTGAGAAATTTTGCTTCTGTTTTTTAGTATGCTTGTGCCCTTGTTTTCATCAAAATTACACATTTACATTTAGAGTTGATGACTTCACAAATTTGTTTCAGAAAGGAGTGGTCCCCTGTTGCCTGCCCTCTAGAGGCCCCTCCCCAGACGCAACCACTATCAACGATTTCAGCTACATTTGTTTTTGTTTTGTTTTGTTTTGTTCCAGATATTGCTTCTTCTTGATTTTTCAATACCTCCTCTTCCATGATTACATATATGTATCAGTCCAGCCCAAGTCTTCTCATGACAGTTACATCTGATTTGGGCCAGGCCAGTGTTCTGAGTTTAAACATTCTTCCCAGCTAAATCCTGCAGTATTCACCCATCACTTTTCCTTTCTAAAGAACTTTTTGTTTTCTTTTTTTCTCTTTTCCTTTTTAAGATTTATTTATTGATTTCAGGAAGAGAGAGAGAGAGAGAGAGAGAAAGAGAGAGAGGAGGGGTAGAGGGAGAAAGATTCTCAAGTAGACTCCACACTGAGCAGGGAGCCCAACATGAGGCTCAATCTCATGACCCTGAGATCATGACCTGAACCAAAACCAAGAGTCGGACACTCAACCGACTGAGCAACCCTGGCACCCTAACTTTTTATTTTCTTTAGGGCTAATAATGGTCTTGTATTTTTTTTAAATTTGCTTATTTTTCTATGTAGATAACACCAATTCATCCAAACTTCTGCCAACTGTTATACTCTCATCTTAAAATGTTCAAAGACATCAGTTATTCCATCAATTATATATTTTTGAAGAATTCCTTCCTAGTTCCTTCTGTTGTGCTCCAACCTGCTGATTTTATTTTATTTATTTTTATTTTTTATTGGTGTTCAATTTGTCAACACATAGAATAACACCCAGTGCTCATCCCATCAAGTGCCCCCCTCAGTGCCTGTCACCCAGTCACCCTCACCCCCCGCCCACCTCCCCTTCCACTACCCCTTGTTCATTTCCCAGAGTTAGGAGTCTCTCATGTTCTGTCTCCCTTTCTGATATTTCCCACTCATTTTTCTCCTTTCCCCTTTATTCCCTTTCACTATTTTTTATATTCCCCAAATGAATAAGACCATATAATGTTTGTCCTTCTCCGATTGACTTACTTCACTCAGCATAATACCCTCCAGTTCTACCCACGTCGAAGCAAATGGTGGGTATTCATCTTTTCTAATGGCTGAGGAATATTCCACTGTATACATAAACCACATCTTCTTTATCCATTCATCTGTCGATGACACCGAGGGTCCTTCCACAGGTTGGCTATTGTGGACATTGCTGCTAGAAACATCGGGGTGCAGAACCTGCTGATTTTAATAGCACTGTAGGATCTGCTTTTTCAGTCATCACTAAGACTTCTTTCCTGCCTTTTTTATGTTGGATCTTCTATTTCTGTAGCCCTATCTTCTTTTTGTTTTTTGTTTTCTACCTTATTAAAAGGACGTGCATTCTTTGGCAGAGCAGAGCTGCTCTCTGAAAAAGAGTGTCCGGGAAGTAGAATTCTGAGAACTTACATCTCTGAAGATGTCTTTATTTTATTCTCCTACCTGACTGACAGTTTGGTTAAGTATGATATTCTAACTTAGGAATCACTCCATTGAGAATTTTGAGGGCTTCCTTACATGGTCTTCTAGCTTCTAATGTGACTATTGACAAGACCCTGAAATTTTTCCAATTTGTGGCTCTTTGTGTGTTATTGTAATTTTTCTTCCCTCTCCTCTGCTCCCCTTCTCCTCTATTTTTTCTTCCTCTTCTTCCTCTCTGTCTCCCTACCTCCTTCCTTCTTTCCTTCTCCCTCCATTAAAATATTTGTCTTCATTGCCCTGGGTATTTGGCAGGTCCTCACAATCTGGAAGCTGATGTCATTCACTTCTGGGAATTTTTCCTGACCTATTTGGTTGGTATTTTTTTCCCTCCCATTTCCTTGCTTCTCTTCCTTTTGGAAAACCCTACTATTGAAAAAAAAAAAAAGGAAACTCTACAATTTAGACATTGGACCTCAAGGACCGATCCTTTTATTTTCTCATCTTTCTTTCCTATTTTTCTGTATGTCTTTTTGTTCTATCTTAGAGTATACATCTTCATCCTTAATTTCTATTTCTATTGAATTTTTATTTATCTGCTGTTATACTTTCAATTTCTAGGTTTTCCGTCATCTCTTAGTATACTTTTCTTTTTAAGGATTTTATTTACTTATTTTTGAGAGACAAAGAAAGAGCATGAGCAGGGGAGGGGTGGAATGCAAGGGAGAAGTAGACTCCTCTACTGAGCAGGGAGCCAGACATGGGGCTCCATCCCAGGACCCTGAAATCATGACCTGAGCAGAAGGTAGATGCTTAATTGACTGAGCCATCTAAGTGCCCTACTTAATATGCTTTTTGAAAGTACCCTCTTCTTTTCTCATAGATGCAATATAGTGTCTCGATGCTCTGAAGTATGTATGTGTAAATGTATTATATACATCTGTGTGTGTGTGTGTGTGTGTGTGTGTGTCTGTATTTTTTCCCCTTCAGGGTGTCTTGTCCCTAAACGCTATCTGTCTTCTCTAAGGTACCTATTGTGTGTGTTTTATTATCTGTATTTCAGGTTAGAGATGGATGGTCATCCTTTGGGCACCATACAAACAAGCAAGTCTAGGTTACAAGAAAAGTTTATTGGAAGCTCTGGGCTCATCGGTGTGACTTTTTGCTTACAGGCTTTAATGGTAAGTTTAAGCCATTTTTTTTTAACAGTATCTATACATTTTTCCCCTTAGGTTGATCATATTTCAGGGGAAGAATCCTCCAGCGTTACACTGAAGGACACTGTGTTTCCCTGGAGCTGGCATTCTTAGAGCTCTGTTGGCAGAGCTGGCTGCAGATGTCACCATTTAGGATACATACATTTTCTTACTATTCCTGTTTTCAGAATGATACCCTACTCTCAACTGTGTCTAGTATTCTCTAGTCCAGGGTGCACCTATTGTATCCTATGCAGAAAATACATCTCCAGATTTCTACCAAAGCGGGGATGGGTATTTGTCTGGCTATAAGGGGTAGGGAGGGGATCTAGAGATCTAACTGAGTCATAAACAGACTTTTAGGTAAGCTTGTTCATCCTCAAGTCCTGGGGTACTTGATGTGAATTCATACATTGTTGAGAGTTTCTGCATATAAACAGGTTATTTTTCAACTTTTACCAGTGTTGGTTTAAGGTTTAGCTTTTTCTGGGCTACTAAATTAGTCAGCACACATTCATTTGCATTTCACTTTCTAAAATTTTTTTGCTTACAGCTTTGTCTTTTTTCACTTTTTCCACTCTTGTGGATGTCTGCCTTTTAAAATATATCACTTTACTGTTGTTTAAATGGGTTTTGAGAGTAGAGCAAAACAACATAAAGGTTTCCAACCCACCGTTTTTATCCAATGTCCTTTGAGGACAAAATCTTGAATTAGGAAGATTGAGGGAAAGAACAGAAAGATTCAGATCACAATATTTCCTCAGACACAGATATTGAATTTTGAGATCAAATCCATATTTAAGTTTGCTTTCCCAGTTTGTAAACCTTGCAGAAATATCAGGGACATCACATTATTATCAATGGTGCCCCGCTCAATGACAATAGCTACCATTCGCTGAATGGTTACTCCATGCTACTGACAAGCCAAGCACTTTATAAATGTTATCCCATTTAATCCTCATACCAACCGCATAAGGAAGGTAAGTTTTATTATTTGCGTTTTAAAAGTGAGGAAAATAATGTTTGGAGAAATTAAATAACTTGCCCAAGGTCATAAAGCCATAATTTGAAGGAATCAGAATTCAAGCACAGGTCTGTCCAGTGTACAGCTGCTGGATTATGCAGCTTCTGCTGGTTGCAGGCTTCTGCTGTCTTGGCTGACACAGCCTCCTGCTACCACGTGACCTCCCCAGCCCAACCACAATTGCTGCATTCCCTACACAACATCAATTTCACAGAATGCCTTTAATAAGTGTATAAGTATATAAATTTCAAAATGTTAATGCACAGAGATCATATGTTTAAGAAAGCTTACTAGAATTTTAAGGGACGGACAAGGGAAGGAAGATATCTTTAAGGAGAACCCAGTCTGTTTACAGAAATAGAAACAACCTGGTCTTGGTGCTTTTCTATTCTTTAAATATATTAGCTCTTTTTTTTTTAATGGTAATTGGCTTTCCAAGATGGTTCTATCTCTACTGGAGTAAAATTTGATAAGTCATAATTTCTAAAAAATTATTTCATCACAGTTTTGAAATGTTTTTGCATAGATTTACAAATTAATCTCATAGTTTAAAAACATCTTGCTTTTTAAAATTATTTTTAATCATTTCTAACATTATATATTTATAATTTACTCTTTTGTGTAACATTGGCTTAGCCAATGGTTTAAACATTTTATTTTTTTCCCACAGAGCCAGTTTTTACCTTTATTTATTATTTTTACTGGTTTTCCATTTTCTGTCATTGATTTCTGCTTTGACCCATATTACTTTTTCTTTTGGGTTACTTATTCTTTTTCTAAACTCTTGATTATTTAATTCATGTGTTTCATTAGTTTTTATTTAAATGGTCATTTAACACTATACAATTTCCTTTGGTAGGTGCTTCAGCTGTTTTTCATGGATTCTGATTTGTGATATGGTCACTTCAGTTCTTTTTCAAGGAATTCTGCGATTTTGTTTTGTATCGTTTCTTTGAACCAAGATTTATTTGATAGCATTTTTAAAAAAAATCTAGGTAGAAGATTCTTATTTTTTTTAATAAATTTATTTTTTATTGGTGTTCAATTTGCCAACATACAGAATAACACCCAGTGCTCATCCCATCAAGTGCCCTCCTCAGTGCCCGTCACCCATTCTCCCCCACCCCCCGCCCTCCTCCCCTTCCACCACCCCTAGTTCGTTTCCCAGAGTTAGGAGTCTTTATGTTCTGTCTCCCTTTCTGATATTTCCCACACATTTCTTCTCCCTTCCCTTCTATTCCCTTTCACTATTATTTATATTCCCCAAATGAATGAGAACATATAATGTTTGTCCTTCTCCGACTGACTTGCTTCACTCAGCATAATACCCTCCAGTTTCATCCACGTTGAAGCAAATGGTGGGTATTTGTCATTTCTAATGGCTGAGGAATATTCCATTGTGTACATAGACCACAGCTTCTTTATCCATTCATCTTTCGATGGGCACCGAGGGTCCTTCCACAGTTTGACTATTGTGGACATTGCTGCTAGAAACATCCGGGTGCAGGTGTCCCGGCGTTTCATTGCATCTGAATCTTTGGGGTAAATCCCCAGCAGTGCAATTGCTGGGTCGTAGGGCAGGTCTATTTTTAACTCTTTGAGGAACATCCACACAGTTTTCCAGAGTGGCTGCACCAGTTCACATTCCCACCAACAGTGCAAGAGGGTTCCCCTTTCTCCGCATCCTCTCCAACATTTGTGGTTTCCTGCCTTGTTAATTTTCCCCATTCTCACTGGTGTGAGGTGGTATCTCATTGTGGTTTTGATTTGTATTTCCCTGATGGCAAGTAATGCAGAGCATTTTCTCATGTGCATGTTGGCCATGTCTATGTCTTCCTCTGTGAGATTTCTCTTCATGTCTTTTGCCCATTTCATGATTGGATTGTTTGTTTCTTTGGTGTTGAGTTTAATAAGTTCTTTATAGATTTTGGAAACTAGCCCTTTATCTGATACGTCATTTGCAAATATCTTCTCCCATTCTGTAGGTTGTCTTTTAGTTTTGTTGACTGTATCCTTTGCTGTGCAAAAGCTTCTTATCTTGATGAAGTCCCAATAGTTCATTTTTGTTTTTGTTTCTTTTGCCTTCGTGGGTGTATCTTGCAAGAAGTTACTGTGGCCAAGTTCAAAAAGGGTGTTGCGTGTGTTCTCCTCTAGGATTTTGATGGAATCTTGGCTCACATTTAGATTTTTCATCCATTTTGAGTTTATCTTTGTGTATGGTGCAAGAGAGTGGTCTAGTTTCATTCTTCTGCATGTGGATGTCCAATTTTCCCAGCACCATTTATTGAAGAGACTGTCTTTCTTCCAGTGGAGAGTCTTTCCTCCTTTATCGAATTAGTTGACCATAAAGTTCAGGGTCCATTTCTGGGTTCTCTATTCTGTTCCATTGATCTGTGTGTCTGTTTTTGTGCCAGTACCACACTGTCTTGATGACCACAGCTTTGTAGTACAACCTGAAATCTGGCATTGTGATGCCCCCAGCTATGGTTTTCTTTTTTAAAATTCCCCTGGCTGTTTGGGGTCTTTTCTGATTCCACACAAATCTTAAAATGATTTGTTCTAAGTCTCTGAAGAAAGTCCATGGTATTTTGATAGGGATTGCATTAAACGTGTAAATTGCCCTGGGTAAGATTGACATTTTCACAATATTAATTCCACCAATCCATGAGCATGGAATATTTTTCCATCTCTTTGTGTCTTCCTCAATTTGTTTCAGAAGTGTTCTATAGTTTTTATGGTATAAATCCTTTACCTCTTTGGTTAGATTTATTCCTAGGTATCTTATGCTTTTCAGTGCAATTGTAAATGGGATTGACTCCTTAATTTCTCTTTCTTCAGTCTCATTGTTAGTGTATAGGAATGCCATTGATTTCTGGGCATTGATTTTGTATCCTGCCATGCTACCAAATTGCTGTATGAGTTCTAGCAATCTTGGGGTGGAGGCTTTTGGGTTTTCTATGTAGAGTATCATGTCATTGGCGAAGAGGTAGAGTTTGACTTCTTCTTTGCCAATTTGAAAGCCTTTAATGTCTTTTTGTTGTCTGATTGCTGAGGCTTGAACTTCCAGTACTATGTTGAATAGCAGTGGTGAGAGTGGACATCCCTGTCTTGTTCCTGATCTTAGGGGAAAGGCTCCCAGTGCTTCCCCTTTGAGAATGATATTTGCTGTGGGCTTTTCGTAGATGGCTTTTAAGATGTTGAGGAATGTTCCCTCTATTCCTACACTCTGAAGAGTTTGGATCAGGAATGGATGCTGTATTTTGTCAAATGCTTTCTCTGCATCTAATGAGTCTTATTTTTTATTTAATTTTTTATTTTTAATGTATTGTGATTAGAAAATTTTATGTATTTTTTCTTTCCTTTGAAATTTACCGAGGATTTATTTGTAACCTAAGATAGAGTCAATGTTCCTGATTTTCCTCCATGTCCTATATTTATTATATTTACAGCCTACAGACTTGACACATTTTTTTCTTTTCTTGTAGCTGATTTAGGTTATTAGGTTACCGTTTCTCTTTGTTTTGTGGATGTGTCCTCTTGACATAATTTCATTGCCGAAAGCCAGGGTTGGTAAAGAATGGCCAGTAGGCCAAATCCAACCCCCAACTACTTTTGTAAACAGTTTTATTAAAACATAACCACACCCCTCTGTTGGCTTAATGTCTGTGGCTGATTTTGCTCTCTACTGGCAAAACTGAATACTTGTATCACAGATTAGATGGCACATAAAACCAAAATTTTTATGATGTATATAAGATATTTATTATGTATTTTAGGTGACTATCTTTAGGCAATAAGTATGCCAATCCTTTTTTTTTTCCTATAGGTACATTATTTTGCTTATTCCTTTCATTCTTATAATAACTTAGGATGGAATTTGACTACATTCATTCTGTTGACTTATGCTACATCTTAGATGGCCTCCAGCATGTGCAATATAACTTTTTGGAGTGATGGAAATGTCCTGTGTTGTATAATGTTGTCACCACAAGTGACTAGTAAGAACTTGGAATATGGCCAGTATGACAGAGAGTTACATTTTACTTTTATTTAATTTTAGTTAATTAAAATCAAAATAGCCTGATGCGGCTAATGGCCACTGAATTGGAAATCATAGTACCATACTCTTAGAAAGAGGTCAGGAGGGGCTTCCTAGGTCCATAACACCTTTTTCTTTTGTTTTTAGGAAACGGGAAATTTGAGTAGAAAATTTCTTCATATTTTTTAAGATCTGCTGACTTTCCCCCTCTTCCATTCTATCTAAGCTTTCTCATTTCATCGTCCCCAATGTCCCTGTCCTGCTGGATGTGGATTCTACCCTCAGCAGTTTCGCCTCCATTCTGGGCTTTATCCTAGAAGGAGTATCTGGCTGGGTAATTTTGATAGCTTATAGGTCCCACACTATTCTGGTATATTTAAGCTTCCTGAGAGCTCCCTGTTTTAATTCATAAATCTGTGCCCACAAAACATCTTTCAGTGAAGCTTTCAGTGAGTGGTTATTAGCTATCTGAGGGTCCTCGGTTTTGTTATATTAGTCATTTGCTTGATCTCTATTATAAGGGGGTTTAACAAGAATTTAAAACTGTATCATCTTCCTCAAATTATCTTTTATGATACTTATATATGATATACTTTATCCACTTCTCCATGAGGGTCACTGACCTAGTCCTACCTTCTTCATTTATAAGAGGGAGAAATTGTAGCTTAGACAGGGAACATGGCTTGCCTCAGGTCACAGAGCCAGCAAATATAAAAAGCCAAAGCCAAAACTCATATTAACAGCCTTTCAGTCCAATATTTTTCTCTTATGCCCTACAATTAGAAGTTTTTTTGGGCAAAATCCTCAGACAGCCTATCTCTGAATATGGCCCAATAATTAGTTGTCTGTTCTGATAACTGTGCCCTTTCTATTCTCTCTCTGGCTTGATACTGCATCTCATTTGTGGAATATATTTGTTTGTAAGTCTAAGGTTGCTCGTGGAGATAAGGGAGAGGCAGACAGAGAGATGATTAACTAGGGCCAGTTCTGCATTTAAGGATTATGGAAAAAGGATGGTTTTAAGAGTTTGGGGGAATATTCTGGTCTTTTCCCCCTACTGGCCACATAACTGTTGGAAAAATGACTGATTCCTTCTTGTTTTTGGTGAGAAAGATGGATATGAAAGTGCCTCAGTTAGTACTTGACTTGTACATATTGTCTGATGACCATTATTTCCTCTTCCTTTTGATTTCCCCAGCTCCTCCAGTGTGAACTCAAGACAGTGTCTGCAAAGCTGCTATACTCCGTAATAAAGATGGGACAAAAAGTTTGAGCTTACCTCATGGCATATCTACTGGAATTTTGAGGTTAGCAAACTGGAGATATCAGGACAATCAGAAGGCTGAGGAAACTCAGTATCCCCTTTTCCCCAGTTTTCAATTCAAACATTTGGGTCAGGAGCTCTAGCCTCTTTCTAGTTAAGATCTAGAAAGATCTTAACTGTACAAGTGATAATGCCCTATTGGCCTCCAGGCTTGATCTCTATTATAAGGGGGATTAACAAGAATATAAAACTGTATCATCTTCCTCAAATTCTCTTTTATAATTCTTATATATGATATATTTTATCCACTTCTCCATGAGAGTCACTGACCTAGTCCTACCTTCTTCATTTAATAAGAGGGAGAAATTGTAGCTTAGACAGGGAACATGGCTTGCCTCAGGTCACAGAGCCAGCAAATATAAAACATTCCCTTTAGTGGCCTCAGTGCTTTAAAGGCCTCCTGGATATAAGGAGGCAACATCACCACTAGTCTCTGGAATATAGCCAAGTCCCTGAAAAGTATCATTCTTGGAAAAAGAAATGGAAATCAGAGGAAAAATCATGGTTGTACAGAGAAGATGCAAATAGCATAAGTATAGGAAAATCTGTCCATATCAAATTTTTTTCTCCCTGAAGTATACTCTCAATTATTTCTACAGTGTACACAACAAATTGATATTTGGATCTGTGCAGGCAGATACTTCAACCGGGGGTATGCGTCTTATTGGGAAGTCAGCTATCACTATGACAACAGGCTTCTTTTTTTTTCTGAACAAATATTATAATTAATTGTCACATGAAATCAGACACAGAAACTGACACCATTGTCAGACCCTCTAACCCTAGCCATTTAAGATTTCTTGGTGGCAGGAGGCACCAATGGGAGCTCTGGCAGAGTGGGTTTCTTAAAATCAAGGCAGGCAATTCAAGGATGAGAGTTTTAATGAGAAGCAACTTCTCACTAAGGCAACCCATCTCTAATTAGATGCTGCTTCACTTCCACACATGTAAGAGAAATCAGGCTCTGCAGAAGAAACCATGCTTACTGAGAGGTGGTTGACTCAGGAGCATATAATTTGTTTATTTCTCTAGGCATGAGGAACCATCAAAAGTCAGGTGCTACAAATTTGTATAGGACAACTTTGGTATAAGATGGGTATGTTGGTTTTATTTGATCTACGACTCTTCTGGAAAAGCAAAAGTAAGGTTGGAGACTACCTACACTCCTGATCTCACACCAGGCATCCTGTTCAACACTATCGCAAATCACTGTCCATTCAAACCTCACCTATAATTTAGGATGAGACAAAAGAAGACTGCAGTGAAGACTGAGAAGTACCCATTATGAATGTCATTTTAAAGACGGTGAAACTGTGGCTCACTGAAGAGGAGGAATGTTTTCCAGTTAGCAGCATATCCTTGATATCCATGACCATACCAAAGGAGTGGAGAGAAATAGATAGAATAATTAGGATTTTCCTGATTTATATTATTTCCACAAATCTACTATCACCTCTTGATCATTTCAGTGGTCTACACTGCAGTGGTGATAGTGGGAAAAAGTTGAGAATTTAGGAGGGAAGGAACCAGAGGCAGATTAGCCTCATGCAATGATAAGATGACTGAAGCCCCCTAGATCCACAGGGGTAATGCTGATGAAACACGCAGGTCAGGTGTTCCCACTCTTCCTTGTACAGAGGAAAATGCAGCCCTGCTGGTTGTGTTGCAAGAGTTACAGAATAAGTTATCAGCAGAGGGAGAAAGCAGGCCTCAAAAGCCAGAATGCTTTTCCACATAGCCTTCTGGGGCTGTTACACCAGGATTTCCCATGTAAACTCTCTGCCCAAAAGAATGTTTGACTGGATTTCCTCATAGTGAATTTCAAACGATATTTTAGGTATTTACGAGAAGTATTTAGTCAGAGATGCCTTCACTGCCCCTTTCCAACAATACAAGATAGACAGCCACTTAATCCATCTATACAAACTAATCTGTCTAACTTGACTGTAAAAACATAAGCATTCTATATCTCAATCAGAAGACAAAGTCACGATCATCATCAATTTCATCCTTTTTTCCAGTTTGTGCACTGATTATAGATCCTGTGATATTATATCCATTGTCCTTGTCAACTCTCAAGCCCATCAAATGCCTGCAAATAAACATTTGATCATACAAGGACCGTAATTTGCCTCTTCGCAAAATTCATTTCACTTTGATAAACTTCACAGATATTCACTGGGAATAAATGTTATTTTGTTTCCATAATGTCAGTCTCCTTTGCTCCTTTTCTCTTACTTTTAACCGGGAAAATGTGTAGCAATGACGTTAAGTTATTTTTCTTTAAATACATCTGATAAAGGGAGGAGTGGACAGAGAATAAGGAAGTTGCTTGTTATTCTTCCCCTATTCTTAGACATATTTTCTTCAATGGAAATGGAAGCTGAACTGGGAAACCATTATGGACATTAATTTGGCCCTGAGAAAGCTATTTAAATTTACTGAGTCTTACTTTTCAAATCTTTTTGTTGAGGATAATGAAACATACTTCCTGGTGGGACAGTTGATAGGATTAAATTAAATCACATTTCCTAAAAGGCATTGCAATATGTCAGATACATAGTAAGTATAAGTGTTTAATGTAGTGAAATGTGCTGAGTGACTAATAAGTGTCAGGCACTATGATAGGTGTAGTGAGGTTAGAAGAATTAATAATGACGTTCGGTCACTAACTAATAGCTACCATTCAGCCAACAAATCTCTTGGAGCACCCAACAACGTATCAGGTGCTATGGTAGGCAACAGACAGTCCCTGCCCTCAAGTTGCTCACAGTCTCATTTGAAGAGGCAGAAGTAAGGAAGCAATTATAACTTAGTGTGACTAGTACTACCAAAGGCTTAGGAACAGGGGAGGAGTACCTAATCCAGGCCTGAGATGTTGGAAGGGCTTCATTAAGGAGTAGGTAACAGATGACATGGAAGAAGAGGGACAGCATTTGAGGAAAACAGAATAATTTCAACAGAGTCCTGAAAGCAAAAGAGAACATGGAACATTCAAGGACTGTCAGTTGTGTAATGGGTGAAATAAAAGTTGAAGCAGCAAATGATGAAAGATGATGCTACAGCAATAGGCAAATCTGGATTATTAAAGATCATAAGAAGCTTAGGAGGCTTACTTAGAATTCAAAAGAATGAAAAGACATTAACCAGGGTAGTGGCGTTATCAGATTTGAGCTTTCAATTGTCACTCTGGCTTCAGTGTGAACAACAGATTGAATGGATGTGGAAAAGGAAAGCATATGAGGACAGAGCAGCAACCTGTCTATGAGAAAGAGCTAAACAAGTTGACACTCAGGATGGCCTCTGGAGGGGCATATGTATCTGCAGGACTCTGAAGGCAAAACCACCCAGATGCAGGTCATTAAGCTTTATTTTATTTAATAATATTATACTTGTAACCTATACTTATAACCTTACCTCAGGTTAAGTTACTAGGTCTGCAATATATCCTATATCTCATGGCAGAAATAATATGGAACCATTAAAATAAGACATAGATCAGTGGATCCAGTTGAGGAAACTATAAAATCATACAAAGAGAAGGGATCCAGACTGAAGGAGTCATTTTTACCTTAAGGATTTCCTTTAACATTTCTTGTGGTGTGGGTCGGCTGGTGACACATTCTCTCAGCTTCCATTAGTCTGAAATGTTTTTATTTTGTTTTCATTTCTGGGTGTAGAAGTCTAGGTTGACCACGTCTCTGCACGCCATTGTCTCCTGGCTTGCATCATTTCCAAAGAGAATATATCATCCTTATCTTCATTCCTTTCACTATCAAGTGTCTTTATTCTCTGATGGCTGGGATTTTTTTCTTTTTCTCTAGTGTTTACCAACTTGATAATGGTTTGCCATTGTGTGTGTGTGTGTGTGTGTGTGTTGTTCAATATTTATTCTGCTTGGAGTTTATCAAAACTCTTGGATCTGTGGGTTTACAGTTTTCATCAAATTTGGAAAAAGTCTTTTGCTTTTCTTTCTTCAAATATTTTTATCTGTCTTCATCTTTCTCTCCTCTCTCTGAAACTCCAATTTATGTATGTTAGATAACTTGATATTGTCCCACATTCACTGAAGCTCTGTTCACTTGTTTCTGTCTTTTTTTTTTCTATGTGCTATTCATTTTGGATAGCAACTTTTGCTGTGTTTTCAAGTTCACTATTTTTTTCTTCTGCACTAATCTGTTGTCAATTTCATTTAGTATATTTTTCATTTTTGATATATTTTTCAACTCTCCAAGTTCCATTTAGATATTTTTAATATCTTCCATTTTTCCTTACCATATTTGTTTTACTCTATATCTTTGTGAATACTTATAATAGTCATTTCAAGTTCCTTATCAGCTATCTCCATCATAGCTGTCATTTCTGAGTGTGTTTCTAGTAATTTATTTTTTCCCTATTAAGGATCTTATTTTCATATTTATTTGCACACCTGGAAAATTTTCATTGGATACCAGATCTCATGTATTGATTGGTTGTATTCCTTTAAAAAGTGTTATGCGATACAGTTAAGTTATTTGCAGATTGATCTGATTATTTTGAGCCTTACTTTTAAGCTTTGTTATAGTGAATCCAGAGCAGCCTTTACCGTGGGGCTAATTTAGCCCTGCCACGAAGGCATGACTTTTTGTGAAGGTCCTAGGAAAACTCAATATATCTCAAAGTATCTCCAATGGTTGGTGGGAATGCCAAAAAATCCCAGCTATATGTGATCCTTTATACTTTATGGAAGCTCTTTCTCAAACTTGAAATGAGTTTTCCTTACATGTTAATAAAAATAATAATGAAAATAGGGAAAGGTAAGTCCTGAAAAAGAGTTTGGGGCAGTATTATAAAAGTCTTGATTTGGCAAAATGAGAAGTTTATACTTAATCCATAGGAAATAGAAAGATTTTAAAGGATTTCAGGTAGGTATTATTGCTCTCAATGAAATCAACTTCCCCTAGTGGGAATAAAGGAAAAAAAATCATCTTTTATT